TGGGGATACATCGCCCGATGATCAGACAGAGCTCCAGCATGACCATAAACGTCAACCTCCCAAGCCAATGAATTTTAAGCCCACTGACAAAACTGTTCGGCGACATTTCTTCACCGGCGAAAAACGTTGACAAAAATATCGGAAGGCACTTATGATTGCACAGGGCTCCAAACAACTACATAGCACACATGCATTTGAGTTCCCAGCTGTTTAATGTAGGCCTACGTGAGGCTGAGGGTTTTAAGAGAGCATCTCCCCACCCCCAAAAAGTATGATTATGAAGTGGGAGTTTTAAAACTTCGACACAGTCTAGCTACCGCATCTGTCTACTGCTCTAAAATCCAACTCGTCACTGCCAATTAACGATCCAGTCTGCTTATTGTATGTTTAGTTTACGAATAAAAAAGGAAAGGCCGATCATCAGCACGATTTGTACCTGATCGCTACTTACCATTATGTGCGTGCGCCAGCACTGCCTCTGCATACTGTGTTCCCGATCAGCATCGCTCTCGTCGCCTGTTCATCACGCTCATCATGCCCGCAATGTAATGCCCCTTTCCCCCTCAATTTTCAAGATAAGTTACTGTGTTATTTTAATAAAATCTGATCTCTACAATATTGTGTATTTATACATCTTCAACCAATAATACCCTACGAACAAATTAAACATGTTAAACACTTCAGAGAGATCGCTGATGAACTTATTCCCATACGAGCACCCTTCATGTACAAAAGCGGCTACGCTGACCGAGGTTATTTTATAAAATAGTAGGTTGTGTCGCAAATTTATGTTTATAAACCGAAATATAAAACAGAACAAAATATGAACATTTTAGGAGTAACCAATAGTGGTTAATTGGTCAATCTGAAGCCCCCGATCCGACAAAAACAGAAGTGTATTTTTCTTATATCGGCAGGCGGGTTAAAGCCGGGTACCAGTCACGGCCTCCGTGTGGCAGGTTGCACTACACCAAATACGCGCCCATACAAAACAGTGCAAAAATTGGACCGAAATAGCGCCGCCTGTTGACTCTCGTGAAGAGGTTGGCCTCCGTTTTTTACTGGAAATTCACGATTATGGCCAGATCACTTTTCGTTTCAATTTCATGAGGGTTAGCCACGAATTTTTTTTTATTCGCCTTTCAAGGAAGATACCCCCAAACAGCAGTAAAACTAAGCGCTCATTCTGAATATAGCCGCCCGCCTCTATCGAAAATAGGCCCGCAATGTGGGGCTTTTGTGAAAGAAATACCCCGAACTGGAAATTATCAGTCCCAAATTCGGGATTTTAAGAAATATTTCTATGATGCCTCTTGACTATGGCATGATGTCTTATCGTAAAATCCCCTTGGGATCACAAAATATCAAGGAACTCTCGCGCAGAGATACAACCATTTGGTGGAATGCACCCAGCAGGCGTGCAACAGACCGTCACTGGAAATCGTGCACGCGTAGTGCGCGCCCCCAGCTCGGATCCCTGTACGTGCGTGCACTTCGCAACTCGAGAACGGGTGAATTACGTCTACAAAAGTAACGTTGTCTCTCACTTATTTTCCTCAATTTGCAGTCCATGGTTCTTTTTGAAATTCCTACCCCCCATACGGATAGATAAGGCCACGAAGAACTTGTAAACGTGAAATTAGTTTCTTCAACAAGGCAAACCAAGGACAAATTATAACTACATTTGAGGTCGTTTTGTACACAAATCTTGGAACTTGGACGTCAGTCGTAATGAAATGAAGACAAATTCCATCCCGAGCTAGGCCTGGACAGAGAGGCCAAAATGGTAATCCTTTCCAGAATCTCCATGAAGCAAAGGGCTGCTCTCAGTGCAAAATAAGCCCACGGGTTTGAGGGTTTTGTGAACGAATAACACCGAGTTGGACGCCAGAAGTCCCAAATTCGTGATTTATATGAATCTCTCTGAGTTCCTCCCGATGACGCGATGGCACCTCTTATTGCAAAACACCTGCGGATCACAAAATAACAATTTGGAGGAATGCATCGTATTTGCAGCGAAGTTCTCACGGCGCTATTCGACCTTTGGCTCAGGCTGCACGCCGGTAAATAAGTTGTCGTAGCCAACGGTGATAAATATCCGAACTTAAATAAAAATCAGGAGAAATACGAGCTTCTCAGGCGTTTGAGACGCACATAAAGTTACAGCCCATTTTTAACCATTCATAACTGATGACCTTTGAAAGAATTTTTCTTCCACAGAAGGTCACCCCTAAAAATCAGTCTTGAAGCCCTCGCCATGTTGAAAAATCGACGCCTAGGCCCACACTTCTCGAAAATAGACCATTTTCAGGTGCCGATTTCTTCCAAATCTCACTCTGACCCAAGTTGGAATATGTTGTGGTCGCCTAAACCTGTCTTTCTACAAATCGTCAAGTTCATGGACTACAAAATGCTCTATTTCGTAGAGAATTTGAGTGCATACAAATTGTGATTTGGCCTGCGCAAGCAGTTTTTGGCCTTTTTACTGGCCTGCAGCTTTCAGACCGTTCACACATAAAACCGTTCATAGCAAAACAAAAGCTACCACACGCTAATCCATTTCAAATAGGCTACACATATCGGTTGGAGCAGTTAATCAATACGCTAAACACTACCTTAGGGCAAAAAGTCTCCGGTTATTTGGTCAGGGGATGTTCCAAAAGTGTTGAAGTGACGCGACTTCCCCCCCCCCCCTAGAAATGATGTACATATAACAGGCGATGTCCATTGAGATTGCATAACGTTACGTATCGCCGTTACGAACACTGAAATAGACTGGCCCCATCACTATTTACCTCACTGTTCAGCTTGTAGATGTACACAAGACGTAAGACCACCTCGTTTGTCTGGTTCCCTAATATAAATGACATAATAATACATAAATAACGTCATCTGAAAAAGAGTGCACGACTAAATGTATGGGCGCCGGAAGGACTCCTCTACTGTACATAATGGTTACTCAACCGCACCCCACCAAAAACACGTTTAAAAATTTGAAATAAAACTACGAAGTAACAGGATTCCAGTCGATCAAGCAAGTTTTGCAGCTTTTGGACATACACCAAATAGGAACTTTTTTTATTTTGCCGACGCGCAGGTCTACGGTGACGCCCGCGCTGACCAGAAACTGGAGACTTTTTGGCCTTTAAGCCTGGTTTCCATTATCGACGTAAGAAACGCAGAGAGCAACGCAATCAAGACGCAAAGAGTAGCGCGGACATACGGACACATGCCAAACGGAGGCGTCGCTGACAACGCAGACAAACGCAAACCATTCCGCGAACGATCGGCAAAGTTGAGCCAGGTTTACCTTTGCCAACTGTCTCCTCGAGTAGCATCCCCATACAAACACACATGCTCTCTAGCTCTCTCGTCTAGTTCTACAGATTTTGCCCATTTTCTCCTTAATACTTCAATATTACACACATATGATCAACTAAATAGCTGACCATTGATGAAATGTATGAAACTGGAGTACAGGTTAGGTACCATGAGGCGGTACAGTCAATCCAAAAGGGTATTTTATTTTCGAAAAGAAAATCATTGTTTCATTTTTTGGGTGGAATGAAGGCATCTACTGTCTCCTCCATTTGTGTATGCGTCTTGACGTCTTGTGAGCCGTCTGTGTTACAAAAGACCATACGGAAACCTTGAACCTGAATTCCAAGTGTTAGGTAGATAAAAGCTGGATTGAACAGTTTACGGTACTCCTATTTTATGTACATGTATCACGGTTATGTGTATAGTTTGTTCGTTTTATACCGATGTTTTCTTCATACTAGTCCACGTTCCTAGACCGTACATGCGCTCATAATAATGGTATACAACCATGGAGCTATCACGGCAGATCAACTTTTTGGACCGTCCAACATTAACCGTGGAGGTAGAAATCATAGTCCAACTGTGCAGGACTGGACATGACCGGCTGTCGCTGTGACGTAATGGAGTCGCCCTTCTTGTAGTTCAGGTGTGGGCTGTACCATTTTAAAATCCTGGGTACGTTCCTACTTTATGAGTTCCTTCTTTAACTGAACCTTCGTTATTGCATCGTGTCTATATGCATTTCTTACCGTACCATTTATTCAATCTTAATATAATATTACTTGAATTGTAGTACTTTTCCTGTGAAGCAACCTTTCGTCGAACGGTACACAAACGTTAAAATAGAATAAATAAATTATTGATCTGCACGCTGCATACTGCGCAAACTACTGTCTACATACAAAATTGCACGTGTGATATACGAATGCAAACTGACACCAAGAACGATAAATTAATCACACAAAGCGTTCCTCACTCATCTGAGCACCCCTGTCAGATATGGTACGGGCCAGCTCCTCAAATTACGGTTATGCATATGAGCAAAATCAGCAAAATCCAGCGTTCTGATTGTTCGAGAGGCTCGAAAACTGGCCAAAAAGGGGCATGGTTTAATCTGGACAGAGTGGGTGCACAACTAACCTTTGCCTTAGTATTATTTTTATTTTGTATTTCTCTAACAATCACCTCAAGCAACAAATTATGACATGCACATTGTAAAAATGTTAGCAAAGGGGAAACGTTGTTTAAATGTCCCTAGTTTGAAAAAGTTTTGTGTGTGGAGCAAATTCATTGTCATAACTATGGCGCGCGTCAATTCCTGTGAACTCGCAATAAATCTGGGCAAGTTGAAGACCACCCGCAGTCCTTCATGCATGATACACAATGTATTGGTATTCCAACCTTTTAATTAGTTTTCAGCTCCAAGCGGAAATTCAATTGAAAAGAGGATGTCCCTTAATGGAGTTTCATCACAAATCAATTTGATGCCCAAACAAATTTGATTTGACGACGTTTATTACAAATATAAAAGCAGTGTGCGGCTTTTACTGAGCGGATTTTCCAGCATCCTGTTCCTTCAAAAAATACCTACACAACGTACCTCGACGGTAGGTACTACCCATTAGAAAATGGAATACTCCAGAAGCCATCAAATCTGCCTGTAATAAGGGGAAGCCGTGAAGGTTTACTGCCGTCAGATTCAAGACAGACTAGTCGTGGTATTGTGACCGTCGCTGCCATTAAGTTATTCACCGTTCTTCGGCCTGTCCTCACATCACGACTTCACGTACGTTTTTTTTCACAGAGTTTGTCAGAAAAACAACTCACACAGCGCGCTGCCGGCTAACACGGCTGGGCACCTGCTGGTCTCTAAACCTGTCTAGAACTGTAACCTCGCAGAAAGGACTGACTTTGAAGCAGACCATCATGGCATTATTCTCTCATCGGCAGAGTTTATTCATTGGAGTTATTACTTACTGTGTTTTAGCATCGGTGCTATGTGCTGACGAAGCCCAGTTTACCAAGATTGTACCTAATACCGAGAAACAAATAGAGAAGTTGAAAGAAGATGTGGGCCCTGAAGGAGATATGGGCCTATCTCTGGAGCAAGAACAGCCACAAGAATACAATGAGCTTGAAAATTTGGCGAAGCGGGAAGATATAAGCATAGATGCAGCGATGAGTGGGGGCGACTTGCAAGGCTTTGACTTGGGACACACGCTTGAAGGAAACCGTGACAGATCAAGGACAAGGTCAAGATTACGTTATCTGAACTCTCAGGTGAGTCGTATAGGAAATAGAACAAAACGGAGAGGGTGATTAGAAACCGTTAGAATTGAAATGAACGCCATTAGGTACTGAACACTTGGGTCTTCGTAAAGTCTCCCACTGGGAGTTGGTATAAAGTATTCACCCTTTTAAAAAGTGTTCCTGCGTTAAATTTCGTTTTCCCATGTATGTAGGCCTATTCCACAGTCTTATTCGAAATTAAAGATGTTCAGTTACTTCATAAAATACACAGCCACGGACCCAGTATTTACGAAGGAAATGCGGCCAGTAGAAAAGAGACTATACATGTTTAGAACGCTCACTCATCACTCACTGCCGTGGCTAAACATACTGCGGAAAACAGAATGTTTGAATACGGTCATGATCTGAGCGCAAGGTTCAGCATAACAACCGGGGAACTTGAGCATAGAACAACCAAGTTTAATAATGGAGTTAGGTGAATGACATTCTGAGGGTTGGCCATGGTGGAAGCTCCGAGCCTTCACATGGTGTTAAGACAGTTCTTGATTGGACAGGATGTGTGTGTTAAAAGGTAGCACTTTCCGATCCACTACCCGCTGATCGATTGTATGATCGAAATCGATCATTGAATGAATTTTTTTCATCCTAAAACTTGCCTAGTTGAAGCAGCTGTTTATATACACGATTTCACCTTCCCGGCCCCTAATGTCCTGTTGACCTCAGCTGCAGTATCTTTGGATTATTATGAAATGCAGTAAACTTGTCTCTTGTTGTTTAGCACCTTTCCAAAAAAATGCGTAAAGAAAGAGAACATGATAGTTAGGCCTAACCATTTTTTAGAGATTAACATGGCTTGACAGCATGTGCTGTTTTATTCTGACGACCCTTTCCCTACTACGCTTAGGGAAACAGCTAAATGAGATAAATCCTGCAGGTTAAAGTCTCTAAATTAAAGCTGCCAAATTAGTTGTTTTATACACGTAGTCGTAAAATCATAAATAACGTCATCCATTAGGCCCTATTAATGGTCATTGGCACGGAACATTAGTCGTTAAATCTGTGCCAAACGACATACTAGAAAACAAATGGTGCAGCTAAGTTCAGTTCGTTCAGTGGAACCCCCCCCCCTTTTTAAACTGTAATCGAAATAGCTGTTTTTGCAGAAATAGTGTGTGGGGGGGTGTTACTCAAGTTTGATTGGTCGATCTGCCCTGTGAACAAAAAAAAAAAAACATGTTTGCAGTGAAAACAAAGGTTCTTCTCTTCAAGAAGTAACGATGTTTCATTCAGAGAAACACTAGACCTAAAGCCACAAGCTGACCAGCCAGGTCATGGTAAAGCACACAAAATAGCAACATTGAAGTTGAAAAGGTTGACTCTGCGTTAGGCTGATGTACAGTGTGATCCAATGATCCCAGATTTTGAATTAGCCCAGCACTTTGCTTTACACCCCCTTTTTTCAATATCCCCTCCCAACAGCGCAGTAGATTTGTCGATCACATATATATCAAAACAATTCACAGAATTATCAAAATTGACACAGTGTTCTCAAATGTAAACATCAGGCATTGTTAAACAATGGACTGTCATGTGGGATCGCTGTCTATGTAACTTTCGGACATCAACTGTAAAGATGTCTTTTTATGATAGTTTCATTCTGTGCGTTATCCGAGTCTACTGGGAAAAAATGAACTCGGGAGTAACATAAGTCAAGGCCGTATAACTGTTACCACAATACATGTAGTAGACTTTTGAGTATATTCCGATATATGGATCGCGTTTCATTTTAGCTTCATTTATGGGTTGGTCTGAATTATTTGACTGGAAATTACTTGTATTTGGTTAAAAAGAAATATGTAAAAGGTGATGAAAACCGGCAACTTTGCATTTATAACTATTTTTCTTGTAACATTGTAGACATTCGTTTTATTTCGAAGACCAGAAACTCAAAAAGAGCATTAGAGTGACCACCAACATTAAAAGCAACGGATGTTTGAAAAACATACTGTAGACAAAGGGAACCTTTCTTCGATGTCATTGTGTGTATATTGTGTACATTTTAAATCATTTTTATTGCAAAAGGTGCTTGTTTTCAGTGATCTTTTGATCTTTTCAAGTCCTGGGGTGTCTGTAGGTCGACTTAGTATAGGCTGTAGGTGTCTGTAGGTTGAATTAGTATATATTAGGCCCTATAGGCAATAATTAAAAAGGAACATTTTTTTCTTCTTCGGTATTGCCCTATATTAAAATATTATAATAATTATGCTTAATGTTTTTTAAGTTTCTATTTAATTGCAATTCCATAGGCTTTCATAAAGTGTAAAAACAGTAAACACAAAAAAATGTGACGTGTTCGCGGCGGTAAATTTGGCAGATTTGGAAGTGTGCTGCAAATAACATACCACAGGTTTTAAGCCAGGCGACGTTATGGCGAATGGTGCGGACGTGCAGCTATTCCAGATTTTTTTATATGGAGTGCAGGCTACACCCCAGCAAAGGGAGAATTCTTCTTGACGCCTGCGGGGAAATTGGACTAGATGTTTGGAGGATATGCGAGAATCGAAGGAAATAACATGCAGCTGCCCTCCCGTTCAGAAATTTTAATAACAAGAAATCAAAATGAAGCCACTGGGCGATAAATTTTTACAGTTTTTGACAGGGAAATAATGCTCGGTATAATGTATCGGTATATTCTAACTTTCACCTGATAACCAAAATTGATTAAGTACACAAATTCTTACTTCATTGCACTTTGTTGTGAAGAGGCATCAGTTTAAGAGCTGGTCAAAATTGTAACCGGGAAAACGCTTTTGTTTAATTATTTCTGAAGTCACTCTCACAAGACATAAACCAGTCTCAAAGACATTGTAATTATTGTATTTTAGCAGATGTCTAGAATGCAGGCTGGAGGTTAACCCCCATATAGGTTTCGATATAATTTGCTACTCCTACTCCAATCTGAAGACTTTCGGCTATTACACTTATCCGTGTTAACTAGGGACAGTGTACCACAAAGTGTAGTGAAAACATTGGCATAAAGCATTGAGCTGAAAAATCGCGGGAAATCACAGTAGTGTTTGAAAACAATACATGTGATCATGTGACGGTACAATGCAGCCGACATGACAGGCCAAAAAAGTCTCCGGTTTCTGGTCAGCGCGCGCGTCACCGTAGACCTGCGGGTCGGCAAAATAAAAAAGTGTATTTGGTATAATACGATGTCCAAAAGCTGGCAAACTTGCTTGATAGACTGGAATCCTGTTACTGCCTAATTAAAAAAAAAATAATATGTATGGGGTGCTTTGGAGTAGTATCCCTCAAGGCCTATAGCACCCATATATTAAATTTTAGTCAAGCACTCTTTTTCAGATGACGTGATTTGCGTATGATACATTAAGGCCGTGTCCGAATAGTTGGCTGCAGCTTGAAATTACACACGAGTCTGTGATAGGAGCCGCGGCCAGTTCCCATAGAGTTGTGCGTAATTTCTGGCCGTAGCCAATTAATTGGGACACGGCCTTACATCTGGGAACCTTACCAACGACGTGGTCTTATGTCCTGTGTTCATTTACAAGCTGAAAACGCTGAAAATCATTTCCTGGGTGAAAAAAAAGAGAGGACAGGCCGCGTTGCAGCGCCACTTTTGGAGTCAGCCCCTTACCAGAAACTGGAGACTTTTTTTGGGGGGGGAGGCCCTATCCTTCATTGCTACAGGATACATGATACTTCTACTGTGTTGTTATTATGAATGCCTATTTGAAAATGCGAATGGACGTATGAAGTTTTTATTGCAGTTTCAAGGTTATGTCTTATTTTATGATGATTTTGCCAGTGCTTGCAGATTAACTTTGTTTTTATTTTATATTTTTTCCAAGTTAATTTTCAAGAAATGAAAAGTTTGATTTTTATATCTTTTAAAAACATACTTCTTGAAATACATCTCATAAAACGATTTGTTTAAAAAATAGATACCATGTTTCAAATAATACATCTAATAATAACGAACTGGAGAAAATGTAACTCGTACAAACTAATTTGTGAAAACAATTATCCCGTAAAAACGAAGTTAGGAAAAATATATCTCATAAAACAGACTTCGGAAAATGCAATTCACTTTTTGAAAGTATATACCTGATGGCACTACAGGGATTTTGTGAAAGGACATTTTAATTTATGCAAAAATTTAATATTTTTGGAGTCTTACTAATTAGTTTTTTTCTAACGACATCTGTGTGATATTCATACGCTTCATTGAATCGCCCGCATTGTTGGGGAAGAGAATGACCTTTTTTAATTTTCCCACTGTAGATTGAAGTTTCCTTTTAACTTTCAAGTCATTCACATTGACATTTCGTTAAAAGCCAGACGTAAGCTGCAGTTTCCGCGTAGATTTGGTATTGGATGACGCTGCCTCTGTGGCGAACGAATTGAACTTTTGATCTTTCTGGCGTACAATAAAGAAAAGACAAAATCCAATAAGAGTCGTGTCTCTTTAAAGGGGGACTATTCGCCGAAATTAATGGATGCTGTTTTCTTATAATAAAGAAGTGAAGAACGCAAACACAAGCTATACAAAGACAGAAAGAAATGAAATAATTTAGGTCTTTATTTTCTGGCTTTGAAGATGAAAGTTATTGAAACTTGGGAAGATTAGGAGGATACTTGTGGGAAAAATTGAACGTTTGCTGATTCACATTCAGTTGCCTACATACTTGATTGTGAAATATAAAGGTGTTTGCGGCGTGACCAAGGAAAACAGCAAATGCAGGAGAAGATCAAGCTGTCAAGAAACGGGGATGAGGCCTCTAGTAAGTTAGTAACATGTGAACAACTTGGAATGGGTGTTTAAGTCGCTTGTGAGGATTGAAAAGACAAGGCCGTTGATTAATAGAGGGTATTTTCGGACAATTTTCTAATAAATTACGCTTATGCCACAACCCAGCAGCCTACATTTCAGACCAAAAATTGGTTGTACTCTCTAATTTGATACACCCATCCAGTGTGGCTTTTAAATTCATATTCTTATATTC